TACTCCATACATCTCTAGTTTGTGTAGGAGGATCTCCTGGTCAACTGTATCGAATAATTATGCGAAATCGATAAACAAGGCTTATTATTTTTGAAACCATTCAAAATTTTATTTACTAATTCAATTATTGCATGATATGTTGAATGACTCTTGTGAAAACCAAATTGTTTGTTATACAGAATATTATATGTTTCAAAATAGTTGTATAATCTATTGTACATAACACGTTCGAGAAGCTTTGAAAAACAAGAAAATATTCATATAGGCCTATAGTTGGATGCTGAAGAGTCGTCGCCATTTTTATAAATAGGGACTACTCTTGCTATTTTTAATTTATCAGGAAAAACACCAGTTTTTAAAGATAAGTTGAATAATGTTAAAAGGGGCGGTTCAATAATATCAAATACTGATTTCAAAGCACTTGCATTGATTTCGTCGATTCCTGGACTCTTGTTGGTTTTTAGTAAATTTAAGGCTGTTCGAAGTTCATCCGAGAATATTTCAAACTCATTCATAACTAAGTGAGTTTTTTTAAAAAAAGACTTGAACGTTTTGTTTCCCGGAATTATTTTTTTTGCTAAATTTTTACTAACGTTTATAAAAAATTCATTAAACATATCAGCAATTTTCTCTGTGTCAAAACGTCTGTGTTCATTTTTGTTTGTAAACGCTTTGGAAAAACAGTGTTTATGTTTAATTTCTTTTTTCCAGTTACTTTTATTATATCGCATTTTTTTCTTGCATTATCTATTGAATTTTCGAGCAGATTGGAGTAACAGTTTTTTTTATTTATTTTTTTAATTTTTAAAAGAGTTTTTGTATTTTTTATATTTAGTTTCATTAGTTAAAGTTTTATTTATTTTTTTTATATCGTAAAACTTTTGCTTTTTTTTTTTGAAGATTTTTTAAGCACTTTCGCCATCCAAGAGTTACGCAGGTTTTTAGAATGAGTTGTTTTTTTGGTCTTTGGAAAAGCTTTTTCGTATTGTGTAAAAAATAAGCGTTTAAAAAGATCATAAGCATTATTCGCATCATTGCACTCAGCTTTGAGTTCCCAATTGGTTTCATGTATCAAATCGCGAAATTTTTTTATAGAATTGTTGTTTATTTGTCTGACTTAGGTGATAGAGGAATTATTATCTTCAATAGTTAAGCGATTGATTATCAGAAAATTTGGAAAATTAAGCGAATGTAAATGAGGTGCAGTGTGCCCGATAACTGAAAACTGCAGTTGCGAAATGTTTTTTTAAATGGTTCTAGCATTCTATTTTCTATTTATGCTGCTAAATCTATTTGTGGTCTGACTTTAAGATCATCAAGAAGACCATTACATCAAGGTCTTGTTTGACTGCAGACTTTTTGAGTAGGCGTCGTGTGCTATAGACCTTGGCTATTGGGCGTTCGTGTATAGACAAGTTATATTTGCGGTCATTATTTTGTGTTTCTTAACGTTGAAATGCATGAGTTAAATATGCATTTCAACGTTAAGAAACACAAAATAATGCGTCTCATTCTCGATTATGTCTATAATTTTACTGTGGTCAGATTAAGTTTTATGCAATGAGTGATAATTTCCGGCAAATAAATAATGAAAATTACGAAGAGCAAAAACCAAGCTTTGAGGCACGCCACTAGTGACCGTTTTAAATTCAAGTGTAATGCCACTAATGACCACTTATTGTATAGAGTTGTGTAGTCAAGTTGAAATCGAGTCTAAGGGTACGCCTCTAAAACTAGGTACTCTTCATTGTTATTTGTCCATTATTATTGCTTCTTGAAGCTGTGTGAACCATACTAAAAGCTTTTTTTATATATTCGGTGAATATGCAGCGAAGAAATATCAAGGAATCCTCACAAACAAGCTAAAAAAGCTCTCAAAATTGTACTTTGATTGTGCTGTTGGCAAACACGATAAAATATAATTACAACATAGTTTTGTAAGAGATGTTCATCAGGGTTGTATACTTGGTTTAAATGTAGAAATAAACTTTCTTTTGCGACTCCTTTGATATAGCGAGAGTAACATGACCATGCATCTGACTGCTGATTCTGTGCCTTTATGATCAAACTACTCTACTAACTCTATTGATGACGACTCACATTGCAATTGATTTACAGAGGTTAAAAATGACTAAATGAAGTACTGTTATATTTATATCTTCATTCTGACACAAAGTTTTTTTAAGAGATTTTTATAAACCCTATTTTTACCGCGAATGCAAACAACATTTATCTAATATCAACTATCGTTTTGGAAAACTCTTTATACACATAAATAATTTTTCTTTGAGTCTATATGTCGATTTTATCCTTTAATTCTGTTGGTTAAGCAAATTAGTTAATATTTTCATTTAATTGTTACAACTTTCAAGTTTTTTAACGACTGCTTATACACGGTCGTCGTTTTTAAATCAATTACGATGTATACGATCTGTTATGATTCCAAATAAGTGTGTGTTTTTTTTTTTAAAAAAATTGTCAAACAATGTTTAGTATAAAAACTCGTTTTACAATAAATATCTTTAGATAGTTGAATTACTAGAATTTTTAATTTTTTCTTAATATAAAGAATGTGGAGACTAGGTCTTGTCATCGAGAACCGCTAAAAACGTTGCTAGAAAGTTAAATAAAAATAAAATATCATAATAAAACATAAATAGACTTGAAAAAATATGTATGTCAACAATGCTCAAATATATAACGTTAAAATAAAATTTTCTTTAAAAACAAAATATTTAAATATTTTAAGAAGTCATTGAAAGCAAATATAAAAATATGTGATTAATAAATATAAAAATATGTGATCAACTGTAATAATGAATTCATATTTAAAGTAATAAAAATTCCATTCACGATTAAAATTGAAGTTTTTCAAAATTTTTTTGCTCCAAGAAATGGAATGCAAGATTCGTCAATATTTGGTTTACATTTTGGTTATTGTATAAAATTATTATTTTGGAATATATTAAATATATATATTAAATATATTAAATATATATTCCAAAATAATAATTTTATACAATAACCAAAATGTAAACCAAATATTGACGAATCTTGCATTCCATTTCTTGGAGCAAAAAAATTTTGAAAAACTTCAATTTTAATCGTGAATGGAATTTTTATTACTTTAAATATGAATTCATTATTACAGTTGATCACATATTTTTATATTTATGAATATTTGCTTTCAATGACTTCTTAAAATATTAAAATATTTTGTTTTTAAAGAAAATTTTAATATTATTTTTTTTCTTTACATAAAAAACTGGACATGAATTAACTTTAGATTTAACCATAAAATAAAATTTGCTGAAAGTATCTAACTCACTTGTATCAAGAATCTTTATGCTAAATGAAAGAGAAGTTACACGAGTAAAACGATTTTTGTTATATGCGTTCACAAAATACCTTAAAAAACCTTTTTTACTAAAACTAATATAGAATGAAAACTTGAAGTTAAAAAAACTCTATTTTTTGAAAAGTCTTCAGAAAAATAAGTATTACATTTTTATTCAATATGTCTTAAGACATAACTTGACAAGACTAAGAAAATTCTTTTAGCATCAATCACAGTTTCAAGTTGATTCTTGAACCTAGAACAGGTGGTTTTGATATAATCCTTAGGCATCTTGTTCCACTCCTTCTTGATCGAAGCCCAGAATGAATAGTCAAGAGGTAGCAAATCTGAAAGTCTCAGCGAGTGAGCACAAATCGTGTGCTCACTCAATGAGACCTCTATAACCATTTTCTAGTTGAGCTTACTGGATTCCGAGAAATTCGAACATTGACAACCTTGATCAGTTGAGGACTTAGAGCTAAATTCTTTAAGTGACTTCCAAGTTTTCTCTCAACACGAACAGTCATTTAAAAACGTTTAATTGCAGTAAAGAATTTGAGACTTGTTTTTTTGTTACACAGTGAAGTACTTAGAGGCTTGTTTAACCTCTTGGAAATGTCTTTAGGCATGGTATCATTTATGGCCAGGTTAACAATTCGTTTATTTTTACTACTCATTTTCACATTTCAACTTTTTTTTTCTTCAAAGTTTTAGGCTGCAGCAATTACAAACTATGTGGGTAAAAATAAGCGGAATATTTATTTTGAATTTACGAAACTTATTACAAGATTTAGGGGTTTTTCACAAGTTACGTCACGCATTTTTTGACCGTTTTTTACCCCCACCCTCCCCCTCGTCACAAAATCGTAACTCTTAAGTAACAAGTGTATATATGAGTTGTCACAAAACCACTAACCCCTTTCCACCCTCTTTAAAGCGTGACGTAATTTATCTACGACTCCTTATTAAAAAAAAATTTATCTCAATAAAATTTCTTTTTTTATTTGTTTTAAGTTTTGATCTCCTTGATCGTACTTTAATAATTTTTTGACTTTTTTGTTCTCTCGGCTGCGTCTATGTCTATATCAGTCAATTTGTTCGTACTCTCGGCTGCGTCTATGTCTATATCAGTCAATTTGTTCGTACTCTCAGCTGCGTCTATGTCTATATCAGTCAATTTGTTCGTACTCTCGGCTGCGTCTATGTCTATATCAGTCAATTTGTTCGAACTCTCGGCTGCGTCTATGTCTATATCAGTCAATTTGCTCGTACTCTCAGCTGCGTCTATGTCTATATCAGTCAATTTGTTCGTACTCTCGCCTGCGTCTATGTCTATTCAGTCAATTTGTTCGTACTCTCGGCTGCGTCTATGTCTATATCAGTCAATTTGTTTGTACTCTCGCCTGCGTCTATGTCTATATCAGTCAATTTGTTCGTACTCTCGGCTGCGTCTATGTCTATATCAGTCAATTTGTTCGTACTCTCGGCTGCGTCTATGTCTATATCAGTCAATTTGTGTGTGTATATATATATATATATATATATATATATATATATATATATATATATATATACAAATTTTATTTTTTTATTTGTTTTATTTTTGTAATTCTACGAACAATGCAGTTTATTATCGCAAAAATAAAAAAAATTTATCATAAATGTAAAACCATCATGGTATTAAAGCATAACACATTAAGTTTAATAATGCATTGTAATTCCATTCTTTTCAAAATGATAATAAAGAATTATAATTGCATAGTTTTACTAAGAGATGAGTAATGCATAAAATATATGCTTTTATAAACATTTGACATTTGTATACACTAAATTAGAAGAAGTATTTCTGAAAATCTAAGCTATTAGAGGTAATATTTTTATTTTCATATGTAAAATCCAGATTTTATTAATTTCTTCAAAAAATAAAATTGTTTTATTGATAAAATTACAGAAAAACGAACCAGAAGTACACAAACCTTTTTAAAAATTCAATATTTAGTTGATTATTTTTATATTTTGTCATTTTAAATTCTATTATCAAAATGATCTTAAATCCTCAGTGTTTTAAGACCTCTTTATATACTTTAAACATCCCATAACTATCCAGTAAAATACATAAAAAATTTAACAAGGTTTTTTCTTAATCTGTGTTCTGTATTTTGTGTTCTGTAATGTGTTCTAACATATTTAAATTGTTAGTGTAATTTAAACTATAAAAAATATATACATACTAAAAAAGTTTCAAAAAAATGACACCTTGAAACCCATTTTACCGTGACATAAACACGCTTCCATTTAGTGTTATAAGTTAAGGTCAGATCAAAAACATAATAATTTAAAGCTCAATGTTGTCTAATTAAATGTACCTTATGGGAAAAGCTAAGGTAAAAGGGCCTTTATTTTTTTTAAAAATATATTTTTTTATTTATCGGTAAAATATAGAAACATATTGTTACAGAAAATCATTTGTGATGAAATATTTTTTAATATTTTACTACATGATAGGAGAAAGGTAGAAAAGGTACATAGAAATAACTTATTATAAAGGAATAATAATTTATTTACAAAAATTTATTTAAAAATAATCTATTTAGAAAGAATTTATTTACAAATAATTTATTATATTTTTTATTGTAATTAAAACTACTTAATAAATAATTAAAAAATATTGTAATTATTAATAATTTTTTTTCAATATTTTTTAAACTTTTTTCTGATCTCGTAGTCTGCCAATTATTAAAAAATAACTACAAATTCTTAACAACTATGAACACATTTTAAATTACATAACTTGTATTTTTAGATTTAAAGTATCCTAACCTAAGTTTTAAGTAATTTCATCTTCATTTTGCTAGTTTTAAATTACGCGTAAAATAACAAAGAAATCAAACAGAGCATTGTTTTTGGTTAAAACTAATTTAACTTTGCTTCAAAAGTCAAAAGTCAAAAGTCATTTTTTTTAACTAAAAAATTTCAAGAGATATTAATTTAAGAAAATCATGTTAAATAAAAAAACTAATATGTAAAAAAAAGCTAATATGAAAAAGGAAGCTAGAACAATATTATAAACAATATATTAGCAACACATTGTAAAAACTCTCCAACAAAGAATTTCCAATAAAAAATTAAAGTAACCGCATTTAATTTTTTTAAAATCAATATTATATAATTCACAATTTTTATACTATATACCAGTAAAAAAAAAAAAAATTTACAGGGTAAAAAATTACAGCCTACTCTTACTCAATTAAGTTTTCCAGGACCCAGGTCTCTTAATATATTTTTTAATTTCTATAAAGATGTTTGCAGTTTTTTAACGGTATTCAGTTTTCAATTTTGCAATTTACCAACAAGACTTTCGATTGATATCATGAATTCGATTTTAAATGACTCAGTTTCTTTTTCTAATATCTTGTACCCTAATATCTTATATTCTAATATCTTGTACCCTAATATCTTGTACCTAATATCTTGTACCCTAATATCTTATACCCTAATATTTTGCACCATAATACCTTGTACCAGGGATACATATAGCTTTGAGATATGTGTATCCCTGTATAGCCAATAGTATTGTCTAATAATAAAGAATGGTAAATTTAAATTGAAAGATTTTTTTAATACTATAAAGTTAATCAGCATAATTTATAAAAACAAAACTTGAATGTTATTTAATTTATTAACATTTAATATTTTGATATTATGAAGCATTATTTTGGTAAGTTAATATATTTGATATAGCTTTATGCTAATTTATGGTTGGTAATACTTGCTAATTTTAAAGAATATGTGGTCCATATTGTGTTTTAGTGGGTTATAAGTATGATTTATTTATTTAAAATCGCAAATCAAATATTGTGAGAAAATCTTACATGGTTCTATTATATGGTCATACTACTTCAACTTCAACAAATTTAAAATTAAATTAAAATTAAATAATTTAAATTTTTTCCATAAATTTTGATTTAATTTAAGATATCAAATTTTTTTTTTTTTTGTCTTAATTACAAAACAATAAAAATAAAATCGATTTTTGGGTATATATGTATAGGCAGTGCTTTATGCACTGACATTTTTACCCAAATAAAGTTCTATTTTATACAGTAAGTTATCTTAAAACATAAGTTCAAAGCAACGTGTAACGTAAATGTTTAATACCTAACCCAGTGGACACAAGACGTGTTTTAGATGATACATGTTAATAGGTATTTAAAACGTCATAAAAACGTCTTTTACTTTCTTAGAACTTTTTCCAACAACCACTAGACATGACTTGTAATCAACTTGCCAAGTCTAGTGGTAATCAGTTAAAAATCGTCTTGTAGTCATTTTTTTTAAAAACCACTAGACTTGACTTTTTATCAATGTTTATTGATTAAACTGGAATAAAAACAAAGATATTTCAGACTAAAATATCTCATATCAAAAGATGAGAACGTGCTAAACTGCAGATTGTAAAGGTCTTGATTTCATTTTGGTATCAACTTTGTATAAAATGTTTAAAAACAAAAACGAATGTATTTTGTCAAACTTATTCTTGATGAATATTAAAAAAATAGAAAAATATTTTAAAAAAATATTTAAATAATATTTAAAAGATAATCTTCTTCGAGCAAAAAAAAAAAAAAAACTTTTTGTTTTTATTTTATAATTTAACATATATATATATATACTATTTTAGATAAAGAAATAAAGACAAAGAAAATGATAGCTGCGGCAATAATATTTGGTCTTTTAGGTCTGGTAGCAGGTATTACCGTTTCTATTTTTATAATTTTATTTACTTCATTTTTATCTCTTAGGTCTAATAGCAGGTATTACTGTTTCTTTTTTTAAAATTTTATTTACTTCTTTGGCACTTTCTAAGTTATTTATATTGTCAAAAAAGTTTAAAATTGTTTAACTTATAAAAAGTAGCAATACTTCTTTTTAGTCCTCAATTTTTTCTTACTCTCCCTCAATTGTTCAAAAGTGTTTCAAATTATATATATATATATATATATATATATATATATATATATATATATATATATATATATATATATATATATATATATATATAACACTTACGGTGACATTAGCATTATTGGGGATATATAATACTTTTATTAAAGTATTAATAAAAGTATTATATATATATATATATATATATATATATATATATATATATATATATATATATATATATATATATATATATATATATATATTTGTATAGTTTAGCACTTACGGTGACAGATTTAAAAAAAAAAACGAACACTTACGGTGACATTAGCATTATTGGGGATATATAATACTTTTATTAAAGTATTAATAAAAGTATTATATATATATATATATATACATATATATATATATATATATATATATATATATATATATATATATATATATATATATATATATATATATATATATATATATATATATATATATATATATTATATATATATATATATATATATATATATATGTATGCAAGGCCGGCGTGATAGGGGGTGTGACACCCCCCCTATGATTATTATGATTATATGATTTTTAGTCGGCAAATCGGACCCTTTTAGACTAGTTAGTCGGCAAATGTCAATCCTTTCGATATAGGTTAGTCGGTAATCTAGACAGTCAGCAAATGTCGTCATGGAAGTCGGCAAATTTTGAAAAACGAGGACCTTTTTTTTTTTTTTAATCAGCATAATGTATAAAACACTTTATATATTTTTTTGTATATTAATACAAAAAAATATATAAAGTGTTTTAAAAGATATCAGGGGCGTGTCTAGGGGATGTCCCCTACGTCGTTGGACGTACCCGAAAAAATTAAATAAAAGTTTTTCAACTTGATTATATTGTTGAAAAAAGTTTTACTATATATAACTATTAATACCAAACTACTATATATACAAACTACTATACTTACTATATATAACTATTAAAACCAAACTAAACAAATTATGCACGGTTAATTATCTTGAACGGTTGGAAAAAAATTAAAAACCGGAAAACGGTTCAAGTTCCAAAATATTAAAAACCGGAAAATAGTATACCGGTTTCAAAAATTTGCGATTGTTAAAAAATAATAATTACAATATTTTGATGGAGGTTAAACTAACTTTTGAGTTAAATAACTTAATTAGAAACTTGAATTGACATACCTTATCTTATTTTGTTATACAGAACTCTATTTTTTGAATTTTTTCTTTCATTGGTTTAAAAAAAATCAAAATAATTATTTCAGTTAAAACAAACTTTGGATTTCCCTTTTGACATACACCTTGAGTAGAATTTTTGTTAAGTTTTATTGTTTAACTATCACCAGGTGGTAAAATTAGTTAGTAACAACTAGTATATATCAAAATATATCAATAGACATCCCCAGTTTTATTACACTAGGCTGTGTATCATTTTAATAACTTGCATTTTAAGTAATAAATAAGGAGAAAAAAGGTTTCAAATGTGGAAAATAAATTTCGGACTTCCCCTTTGACTTACACCCTGCTAAATTTGTGTTTTATTAAATTAATTTTATTAAACATATAACATGGCCGATGATTAGTTCAAATTGTCGCTTAATTCTCAAGTTTATATCGCATTTTAAAGAAAAAGTTAGTATGTTAAAGAAAAGCATCATTTCCTTTAAAGTTAGGCGACCGAGTATTACTTTAATTGTGTAAAACTCTTGATATCACGATACCCTTTGGATACAAGAAAGGAAGACAGAGAGTTATTACAAGTAGAAGCTGCTTACAGTTGCATCGATAAAAACTAGTATTTGTTCCTTGGTTTTCTTTTATAATCAAGAAGAAGATTTTAGACTTATTAAGTATAATTTTAATTAGCCATATTGTTTATCCTTTATGAGATTCATGATAGTCGTAATAGGAACTATTATGAACCACATTAAAGCAAAAACTTGTTTACTTAGTATTTTCATAGAAGCTATTACTCATTTTTCTTTGGGTGTTATGAAATGTGAAATTGTGGCATGGATACTTTACGAAAGTTTTTTATACCTATGGTTTTCTGTCTCAAAAAATGTCATTAATGGTGCAGCCTCTGCTACTGCTTCTTCTTCTGAATTTATGACAAATTTTGATTTTATTGTTGCACTGTGTATAACAAGACATGTTTTTAGTATAACTTTTTTAACTACATAATTTTGCAAGCAAGTAATAATGATAATTTTTATAGTTTAAATCTTATTCAAGCATTAAAAGATTTTGTCTCTATAGTTAGAAATATTATTAACCAACACCTCTAAACAAGCCTAAAAATTGCATTTCAAATTATTTTAACTTGATTATCGCTGTTTCTTTGCAAGACTATCTGAGTTTTATTTAGATTACTGAGATTAACACAATGGTTGATTGATACAATTTTGAAGTGTTATAAAGCACCTGTACTTTAATTTCTTCTTTCTAATATTCAGTTTCTTCTAAAAACAATATCAGAAATTCAATGTTTTTTTATACTAGTTGAGAAAACCAAATCATATTTTTTAGTGTCTTGTTTAACCAAAGACTTTATTAGGTTTATTTATTATTTCCAAACCAAAGGCTTTATTACTCAAATTTGATCTGTGGGAAATTTAGTTGAATTTCACTTAACTGCCTGAATTTCAAAAATGAACTTTAATCTAATAACACTGAAACATTACAAGCAACAAACCTTTTCAAGCTTGTTATATATACTTATGAGTTGTGTTTTAAATAAAATTCAAATACGATAAAAGTATAACTTCAAATGTTTTAGCTGCATTTTGTTAAACAGCTATTTTCATAGCCAGACATTTTTGTAAAAACATTTAGCATTGTACAGTTATTCCAATGAGTTTTTTGACTCTGAGTATTTATAAAGTTTATCTATAATTAAAAGTTATTTATATAGTTATATAAAAAAATTTACACAGCAAAATCTTATATTAATCTTGTAAATTGTTTTCACAAATCTTGTAAAAAATTTTAACATAACATATAAAAAATATTATACATTACGACAACTGAGTATTTTCAAAAAATAATTTTTTTAGTTTGCAAAAATCATATTTTGAGCTTTAGTTTCCATTTTATCAATGTTACAAGTCATTTAAAGAATTAAAACATTTTTATAAAACACACTCAATTCGGTCAAAATCCGGTCCCCCTCCCCCTCTCCCTAAAAAAATAGGGAGGCAGAGGAAGGAATAATTTTTTTTTTTGGACTTACCCAAAAAATTTCCTGTAAACGCCCCTGAATATATATATATAAATATATATATATATATATATATATATATATATATATATATATATATATATATATATATATATATATATATATATATATATATATATATATATATATATGTATATAAAAAAAATAAATTTAGATGTGTAATAAATAGTATTGAGTCAGTGGGTAAAAAAAAGCATTGAATAGTTGAGTAAAAAAAAATTCGCAAAGTCTCGCCTAGTTTGAATGATAATATACTCATAACCGTTCCTTGCTCGTTCTAATAAATTGTTATTTCCGACGAGAGCTATTTGACCTCCAAAAATATTTATTTTCGAGAATGTTTCTTCACAAGGATTTAGAAAAGGTGAGTATCGGGGTAAAAAACGAATATCATATGAAAAGTTGTCATTGAAATATGAAAATGAATGATGGAAGTTGTCCACCACCAAAGTAAAGTCTTCTTTCACCCAAAAAATCCTTCTAAGCATGTTTAGGAATCTTTTAAAGTTATTTGCGGTCACATTAAAACCAGTTATTGCTTCACTAAAGACTATGTTTAAATAATTTAAAGCTAATATCATGGTTATGTTATAGCCTTTTGACGGCAATAAACCATGATTTGAGATCATTTCTCGTAGACTGGTTTCTCGTAGACTGGTTTCTTATCCGTCCGTGGTTTCTTATCGTTTAAAGATTGAACCAACTTTCGATGATATGAATGATATATTTGTAACGTTGTCGAAATGTCAAATTTAGATACCATTAAACATTTGTTTTTTCTTTCTTCTTTTAACTCTGCAGTATTGTGTCTTTTAGTAATGGATTTTAAAATTTTGTGAGTATAATTTAAATTTTTTAACCATCGCCACATTGTACAGATACTGGCATCAATTTCTAACTTTACCTCTATCTCCGGTAGATTGTAATTTTTGTTATCTCTTACTTTCTCAGTATAACCTGACTGTCGAAAATCATCCCTAACACTAGGATTGATATTAAATATTGAAAAATTTCGATGAAACAGGTATCATGTTCAAGTCTCCTTTCTATGCACGAGTTTCAATACTTTTTTTAGACTTTTCCCTTAATTAATTACAAGATTAATTATAACATTTCTTACCTCAACACTAATTTCTATGCATTGTCATTATGCATCATTCATTTTAGGGTTTTAAAAAATTAAAGAGAAAAGAGGCTTAAATTGTAAATAAGGAAAATGTTAAATTAAGCAAAGCAATAAATACAATACCATTAATTCTGATAAAAAAAACGGCCCTATTAAATGCAAGAAACCGCCATGTTAAATGCAAAAAACCGCCAGATAAAACGCAAAAAACCGCCAGATTAAATGCAAAATTAAATGCAAAAAAATAGACAGATTTGTGCAAAAAACTACTGAATGGAAAAACCTGTATTTATTGTGTAGTGTAAGTAATAAATTAAAGTAATAAATTATTAGCAATATCAATGGTTATGTTCTAAAAACGGTTTATAACGCTTTGTAAAAACCACCATTCTTGTGTACAGTTTGTTTTTGTG